AAGGTTGGTTAGAGCTGCACTGGAATAGCAGGACCACAGGTTCGATTCCTGTCGGAGGACCTAGTGTTGCATTTTTCGCAACCATTCCTGGTTCAATATAAAATGTGTATACAGTCTATGATCGTCACAAAGATTACCATCTATTCAAATATTCAATTTCAACCAAGTGAATTTGCAGAAAAAATCTTTCATGTTCACCTTATATTACATGATTAAATTGAACAGGTTATGACTGTATGTTCACAAGTTTGTAAGATCAGAAAATTTGAAACTGCAAGCAAACTTGACAGGTTTCATTTGTTTGTGTGGGAACTTGCATGGTTATAGCTGAGTGCTCTAATTTGTCTGGTTTCATAGGTTTCATGTAAAAACATAGGCAAGCATTTGCTGGTTAAAAAATCATCTGGTCCTGTGTGAGGTAGCCTGTGTGTGTACGACCTGTATTTATTTATCATATTATGCAGTAACACAGTCTGTGAAAATTTGTGGCATTGCTTGTCGAACCCCAAGTGTGTTACACAACTGGTCTGATTGCCTAGACTTAAATATTAACGAACTTTAATTTTTGAAATCGAAATATTTTCTTGACACTTGATATGTGTTCATTGCGGTAAATTTCCTCTATGCTTCAAACTACCACTGACATTTTTATGATAATCCTGATATCCTATTGAACAAATCCTGATATCCTATTGAGTAATATGATATCCTATTGAACAAATGAAATGCAACAAGGAGTCGGAAAATAATGGCAATTCTCGAGCATGATGTGACTTGTTCACATTATTCAAGGTCAAAACTTTGTTGACCTTTAAACTCAGCCAATCAGAATCTACTGAGTTTAACCTGCCTCCTCCGCAGGCTTCTCTATATAGATCAAATTTAAATATCAGTAATATATAGATCAGCACGAGCACTGCAAGCCCGGCTTTTCCTAATTAATTATTTGATAGCAAGCGACTGGGGACGAGGCAGAAGTTTAACTACAACAATCAAAATCATGCAACTACCCAGATCTGGGTAGTGCAGCTGGGGGTTCAACAAGCAATGCCACAAATTATCACAGATTGTATTACAGCCTACTACTGACAGTCTGTACACAGGCAATGTGCAGTAGCGTGGCCAGCCCGACAATTTGGTCCAGCTATGCAAATATTTTCGTGTTCATTGACTGTGAAAACAATCAATTTCTAAAGAAATGAATTATGATAATTATGAATTTGCATAGCAGGACTAAATTGTTGGGCTGGCTATGCCACTGGCAATGTGTGAGGTAGCTGAATATTATTCAAACTCACTTTGCCATTGATATTTCTGGTCACACAACTTGGAATGATATGCCTTGGAGAAACCTCACTAGCAAAACCACATCTAAAATAATAATCATTAACCAACTGAGTGCCAACACTTTCCCTTTGATGAGTAAAATTGTCTGGCGTTAGACAAAGGAAAATACTAAGGTAGGGCAAATTTGGGTACAAAAGCCAGCTACAGTAATCGGCTAACGATTAAGACACATAAGCAGATACAGTAGTCAAATTAACCCATTGAGTCCTAGCACTTTCCCCTCAATGAGTAAAATCATCTGGTAATAGGGGCATTTACAGTTAAAGGGTTAACAATGAAAAGTGATAAATTTACTGTAGGCCAGTATGTAAAGTGTGTATCGTGGAACCAAGATATTGGGTGCATAATTTTGATGCTTTCTATATATTCACTAATAAATTTTTGAAATCTCGGGCATGCCTGTAGAAAGTAGGAAGTTATGGAGCGACGCTACCTCCAAGCTCTAAAGGGCTAACTCCAAACCAAAATATACACTTGAGTAACTTGTGTAATTCAAGAGTTGAAATATGAATTCTGGAGTTACTGGCTAACTCCAAAAATGATTTGAAGCTATATAAGTATACAACTGCAAAAATCATTTAGGAGCTAGGCATCTAAGGCTGGAGTTACTGGCTTACTCCAATAATCATTTAGAGCTACGTATAACTCCAAAAATCATGAAAAAACAAGGTATTTAAGCCTCGAGTTACTGCCTAACTCCAAAAAGTATGTGTATAAATTAGCGAGGCAAGTCAGCATATAGCCGCTAGGTACATACATGTAAGGTTGAAGTTACTTGCTGTGTTGCTAACTCCAAAAATCATTTGGAGCTTGTTATCTAAGCCAGGAGTTACTGACTAACTGGAATAACTGCAAGAACTCTCAGAATGCACTTCTATATTCCGCTGTATTAAATAAGACTGAAATATCCAGAATATGCACATAAACAGGACATTGACACACTTGGCATTTTGCTCTCGTTCAGAGGCTAAATTTTGATCTGCAGTTGACTGTTGAGGCAAACCCATTCTCGTACACCGCGTCCTTGTCATGCTCTGTTGATGATCGTGTGTATAAGGCGGGCTCTGGGTACGTGAATGTGGCATAGTCTAGCTCCATTTAAAGATTGGCTACCTCCACAAAAATAAAATCTACAGGTATGATCTCGGGTGCACAATTTCCAAACTTTCCAGTCAGGAATTTAGGGGAGCATCCATACTCAACTTGCCATGAGAAACGTCAATTTGACATTTGTGGGCGTGTGGGTTATTTTCTTTTACGTTTTGCCTGTGGCAGTTTGACACTTTTGAATATTATAAATTAAAGTACAATATAAATTTCTTTTGTATAATATAAAATTCTATTTATAATACATACTTTAAAAACACAAACCTGTACAATATTTTCCCTAGTCAAGAAAAATATACAAAACAAAGAAACTTTCTTACTTCGCCAGACGGTAAATCAAGGCTTTAGATATTAAATACAGTTATTCAAAGTCACATATTACATGTATATTATAAAAGGTATGATATGGACGTTAATACAAGTATTTTCGAGTATTCACACTTGTTTTTTTCTTACCACAGATTGACGTTTCTAGTGTGGGTATGAAAAAGAAACGTCACATTGACGTTTCTCATGGCAAGTTGAGGATGGATGCTCCCCCCTACATGTGCAAGTGTTTATAAAACCCATATCAACTTGGGGTGTTTAATTAAAACTGGCACTTGCATCTAGGCATAAATACAGTAACTATGATAATTCAAGTGTACAGTATGTTAAACCATCATTAGGGAATAGTTCAATACAACCTTATAAGTGTTCACTTGTGATACGGATGATTCCTTATAATGGTAATTTTAATTAAAGGTTAACCCATTGAGTCCCAGCACTGATCTCCCCTTGACGATGAAAATCATCTGGTGTCAGACAAAGTAAAATAATAAAGTAGGGCGCATTACGGCACAATGCAACTTAATGGGTTAAAGCAACACACATGTCGGAAAAACAAGCACCAACACCCAGAGACCAGACTGTTAACTTTGCTGTGCGCACAGAAGATATTCCATCCACATTTTTCGAGATGAAATGTGTGTTTTAAGAATTGAAATCAGGTGTGCATTATGTGAGCACTTTGCACATGTTTTTAATTTTTTTGACAAAATGGACTTTCAAAACTACTCAAAAGTTCGATACTTTAGTGATGTCACTAATGTGCAAATTTTCTCACTTAGGCCACATAAAAAAAGTTGGTTAGCGTCCTTAGCTTTTGCCAAAAAGTGGGCGGGCGTTCTTTTAAAAATTTATACTAATTTTTAACGCCTTGGTTTTAGGTCCGAAACTGGATTTTCTTGCGCAGTACAGATATTTTTTTTCACACACAATTTATTAACACTATTGACTACAGTCAACAGAAATACTACATATATTAGAGCCCATTGATCAATAAAAGTTGGGTTTTTAAATAAAAAATATAAAAAATCCTAAACATGGTCTTTTTTGTGGGCAGGCAAGGACGCTAACCAAATATATTTTTTTATGTGGCCTTATCACCTGAGTGTGCATTCTGTCCCTCCTGTGAAATATAAGTGCACATTTTTTGGCAACAAAATTATATTCGGTGCACAATTTGCAAAGTTAGCAGTCTGACCCAGAGACCATTTACCCAGAGACCATTTGCCCACCGCCCTGTTTGCCCACCTGCCAAGGGCTGGATCATCGTTTGTGCAGGCTCAGGCCACCCACCGACCAGTAAATTAAAGGTAAATACATGAATATACGAAACAAAAATACACCCCAGCGATTGAGCACATATCATAAACATATTTAACGTACATACAACTAGTATTAATTTGACCTTCGTTAAAATTCTGTCGATCAACTCCTCAACTATTCAACTCATTTCTTACTTTGTATATGCTTCCCCAATGTCAATAATTACGGCGACCTTTTCTCCCCCCAGACCAATCACATCAAATAATGGCATCTTCGGACAGTAAATTACATGGACTATACCATTTCAATCATAATTCTCCAGCTAAAAACTCGTAATATTTTTAAAAGAAAATCCACAAAAATCGGTATGAAAAGTTCTATTGTGAGCCCACGGACATTAGAAAATTTGACCAGCGATTACTGTAAAAATAATATTCACATGTACACGTTATGTAAGCTGGGATTTTATGACTTTATCTATGAAAGAATGTAATATAATAATGCAGGCTGGTAATAATGGGTCCAGATTTGGTAAAATATTTTACTTTTATTTCGTCAATTTCGGAAACATTTTAGTAATAATATATCACATCATCATAAGCCAACTCAGCCAAAAAAGGATGACCACACCATGATTCGCAATGAATAAACAGTTATTGACGGTGTAGATTTCACTTCCCCTTCATCTTTTCTAGTCGATTCATCGCCTTGCCTAGCCATACTCTTTAAATTTCAACCTTCGACAAGCAAATACACGTGAATATAATATATATTTATACATTTATAGCAAATACACGTGAATATAATATATATTTATACATTTATATATATATTTCGACTATTATTAATCATAGAAACAAGGCGCAAATATAAATTTCGCTAAAATTTGTTTTGTCTCGAACTCGCGGGACCGGCGCGAAATTTTCCTGCATCCTAATTGGATGATGCCCACGCATGCGCTACGTCTACCCGAGTGTCAGATTATCGCGCATGCGTTTGTTTCAAAGGTTTGGTAAACACCGAACTAAAGCGTCCCACATGCACCACACCGGGCAACTGTTACGTACTTATATACCGAACTGTTACTATTACTTGTGTGTGGTAGTTACCGATCATAGGATCTTATCGTTCGATACCAGTTGGTAACTGAACCACTGCGGCCGCTGAACTAGGGGGAGCAAAGGGGTATGTGCTCCCCCCACTTCTTTTTAAAGTAAAAAGTGCCCTTTTTCTGGCCTTTTAAAGAACGGCAAAAGTATTTCTTGAATGAACGCCCTCTTTTGCTGGAAAGAAAGTGCCCTTTTTGCAGTAGTAAGGACTTTGTAATACTATAGGCCATTTCCGACGTTATAAAGACTCTCCTCTGACGATAACGTTAGGTTTAACGGCCCTTTAGCCGAAATCTAGTCTAAATAAAGGCTAAACGCTTTCATATTGACGGCGTTCTAGCGGCTAGCACTAGACGGACTTGACCGATACGAGTTAGCAGAGTCGGGAAATGAATAGCCTGCGTAGCGGCTCAACAATCTTCTATTAATTTACCGATCAATCAATCTCGTTCCCAGAGTATGCCTGTCCGCGGACAGGTATTTCACCATTTTGTAGGTACCCGTCTACTTTCTGGTCCGCCTTCATTTTAACCAATCAGATCACGATCCACAAAAGTTGGTAATCTGATTGGCTAAATGAAGTGATCCGTTAATCCCACCATGCTTGGAAGAGTTTGGTCCCCCAGTCTGTACCCAGGCGCGAAAAAATATGTGGCCCACAGCGAAAGTAACTGAGCCTCGGCAAAATAAAATTAACTGCAACGGCAAAACAAAATAAACTCATGGGAAAATAAAGTTAACTCACGAGTCACGGCAAAATGAAATTAACTCAGGGCAAAATAAAAAGTCACGGCAAAATAAAGTTAACAAGACGCTCGAACGAGCGTTAACTCGCTGGGGCTATGGAACCTGTCCCCTGTTCAATCTCGTACCCAGAGTACGCCCGTTCCCCGGTGTCCGTGCCACGGTTTTGGGGGGAGAAGTTTCTTCGGAAACAAATGCTTCCTTAAAATTAATTAATCTCGGACACTCAGGACCGACTCAGGCCTGGGACCGACTATCTCTGGTCAGAGTGATGTCTGGTTTTATGCACCCATGTGACCCAACAAGGACAAAAATATATGAGCGTACGAAATTGTACTTTCGGATGCCAAATTCATATACTAAACACGATTATTCTAGCGATTTATGGCCTTTGAAAGTCAAGCGAAATTGTATTGTTGACAATTAACAAATCGCTCAAAATTATTATTTAACTAATTAAAAATGTAGTACGTTTGATCCGTGATTTACGCCAGGGCACAGCTGCCCCAGCGAGTAATAAACTGGATCAAGTGGACTGGATCACTGGACTGGATAGACAAATTCTCATAGACCCAATTGAAAATGAAACTGGTCTGTCAGCAGACTGGATAGATTCGAGCAAAGCTTGGGGCAAGTCATACGGGGCAAGTCCATAGTGTTTATAGTAACACGGATGGTCTGTCAGACTGATTATTATGGGTCTCCAAAGTCGAAGTTGTCTTTGGTTCATTTCGCATTTAAATTATATTCAAATAAATTACACGTTTTCATTTCTATTATATAATTACACTCATTTCATGCACACAAGGGGCGAAAAAAGGCGCGCAAGTGAGAAACAGATTATAATGATAGCCCAACCAGACCAAGCCTGCAAGGAAAAGCTCTTCCAGTTTTGGGAGACTGTCTCGCAGGCTAAACGCCTTTATAGTATTCAGGGTCTTTATTTTTCTATTTGTGACGCGGATACTCTGGACAGCGAGTTCAAAGTTTCGACATACACGTTCTGAGTCGGAATAAAAATCAAAATATGTGACGTGACCTGGAGGGCACAAAATACGCACATCAAAGTATTCAAGAGTTCACTCATCCACTTGTGTTAGCCATTCCGAAGTTGATGAGTGGACTGGGGACGAGTGTTAAAAAGTACCCAAATTAAGAAATTAACCAAATCACTAAAAAGACCGTCTCAAAATTAGTATACAAAGTTTGAAGACGTTTACATGAATATCCTTCGAATAATAAGCTTTCGAAAATTATGAAATTACTGATTAAAATATTGTTTTGGGGACACGCGTCCCAAAAACAAAAATTGCAATACACATTTCATAGTAAAAATCGGATTTTCGAAAGCTTATTATTCGAAGGATATTCATGTAAACGTCTTCAAACTTTGTGTACTTACTATTTTGAGGTGGTCTTTTTAGTGATTTAGTTCATTTCTTAATTTGGGCAGTTTTTAACACTCGTCCCCACTCCACTCATCAACTTCGGAAGCCATAATAGCCGTAAAAGCACATTTTGTTTTCTGTGCGAAGCAATTTGAAGAAGGCGCGCAGCCGACGTTGCAAACATTGCTCGGTTATTTGTACAACTTGTATGAGCCCCTTTTCAGTTTTTTTTGACATGGACATTTTACTCCGACTAAGTTCGATGCGGCATGTTGTAACCACGCCCCAAATACTCAATCAAAAATCGATCATGGTCTCACGGCCGACAGTTTCAACACCCGCCAAAGCCACCCCTTGTATTTGCGGGATACTTCCCCTACGACCACACACATCCTCTTTCCTCTCTGTATTCCCCCCATCCTCCCCCTTAGTCACTTTACCATTTGACTTAGATTGTTCAGCGATTTGTTTCCGAGAGCCTACCGAACCCTCACTTCGACGCCGGCCGAAAAACCCTCTGCTCTTCTTTGTACCCGAGGGCGCATCGTCATTACTTGATCTTCGTTGGCCTTTCGGAGGCGACTCGTTTACGTTTCGCGGCTTGCCGTCACGCGACGTAAGATTATCGTTTGGCAAGCTAATCCGCCGCCTTCTCTCTTCGGATTTACTTCGATGGTGTACGATCGTAGTGTCAGGTTTCGGGCTGCGCTGCGGGCATGAATTCACGCCGGGCGGGTCAAATAACGCAGGTGGTAGTTTAGCTACGGTAGGGTAGCTAGTCTGTGTACCAGGGCCGCATACTGATATGGCTGCAATCTCGTTCGCTCTTCTAACCATTTCAGCAAATGTGAGTCCTTTGTATTTTGAAAGATAAAATGCCAGAGCTCCGACGAACGCATCGCCAGCACCCTATAAACGAGACAAAAAAATCAATAGATTTATACTACAATCTTAGACATAATCTGATAATTTCAACCGGTCTGTTTCAGTGTGTATTAGACAGATTTAGAAAAGACGACGCGACCTCAAAGACGACGTGGATGTCGTCATTTGGCGCCAACTATCGTCAGCTTCTGGTTTGCCACGTCGTCTTGGACGATTTCACGACGCGAAAATGCAATTTTCACGTCCTCTCTAGAACGTCACAGATTTATGCTTTTTTTGAAAAAAATATGAGAGTATGCATAATAAAAATCATCCTATTTTGTTCCTCATGTATTGTTTAATGATTCTAGTTGAAGGTTTTTCATTGACAACGTTGTTTTTCTTGTATTTCGCTAAATTTTGGACGTGTTGATTTTTGACAAATACTTTCGGTCGCCATAGTCAGTTGTTAAAAAACCACTTCAATACCGCTAGTATTCTTCACCAAAACAAACATTTTACAAGAAACTGAACTGAAGTTATATTAACAACTGTTTAAAATCAGGAAAACTTGGGAAGGTAGAAGAATAAAAGCACTTACAAGCAGTAAAAACTAAATCAATTTTAGTTGCTCTGTCACAACAGTGCAAAAAGTAGGACAAGTAAAAATCGCTTTCCAGCGTGAAAAACTATCATAAACAGTATTAAGTTTTACCAATATAAACACTGATACCATGTTTATACTAAACAGTTGACAAACTTGATTGAATAGGCTACAAACTAAAGCATTTAGCTCGTAAACATTGCCTGCAGTTGTTGTATTTATTCCAAATGATGCAACAAAGTTCACTTTTCAAAATACCGAAATATACGTCTTTTTCTAAAAAATACTTATTGAATATCCGTACTAATTCATCAGGAAACGCTTGGCAGTATTATAAATCCTTTTCTTGCACATATCTTGACAACTGATTGAAAACAATACAGGAATGAGCAAGAAACAAGAAAACAAAAATTTGCTTCGAAAAAGACAAACAAGCCGTCCCAGATTAAAAACCCGGAAGTGAACGCGAGGTGTACACGTCATTTTCACGTCGTCTTTGAGCTCGCGTCTTCTTTTCTAAATCTGTCTATTGACGATAACAAGACAGATCTGTAAAAAAGTTTCTTTTTATTAATTGTGAGTTCACAGCTTTTGAGAATTTTTACCACGGTTCAAAAAATCACTATCCAATGGATACCGCGCATACCCGCCTGGTAAACGTGTGAAAATCTCATAGCTTGTCGGCAGGACGTGTTCGTACTGCTTGCTCCCAGTTTTGGACAAGTCTGGAACAAGTTGTTGTCATCTTGTAATAAGGTTGGTGAGGCCAACAGACTCGCAACAAGTTGTTAACAAATCTGACATCGTCTGCACGTAACAAGTTGTTAACGTAACAAGTTGTTAACAAGTTCATAAAAACATCATAGCAACGTGTTACCAACAACCTGTGTTAGACTTGTTGGAACAACTTGAAGCAAGTCTGTTACTGTCATCAACCTTGTAACAAGGTGCATGATAACAACTTATTCCAGACTTGTCACAACAACTGGGAATAACATCCTGACATCGGCTTGACAACAACCTCGTTGTTTGCAGATATTTAATTTTTTGCTAAATATATGAAAAATCACAGTTGAAACTTACCGTTGTATCCAATGGTTTGACTTCCTTACTGGGTACATGGCGTGGCGTGGGATCCTCGCGTGTCGCAACAACAGATCCATTCTCCCCAAGGGTAATGACAACCTTGGCTGCGCCACGATCTAACAACACTGGCAGAGCATAAAATGCGTCTTCAACACAGGATATAGGAACACCAGTTAATATCTCTGCCTAGAAAATAACAAATATACTGGTCGTGAATTACAGTAGTGGCACACACTTTGTGAAATATTGGGGGCAGGGCTAGAATTTTATCGCGGCAATTGCCGTAGAGGGAGAACAAAATGCCGTGGATCATTGCGGCAACGACGGCATTTTTTTGCCGTATCAGTGGTGCAATTTTATACTATTCACTGTGCATTACTATTTTGATACTTGAATTCAGATGTTGATCAAATCATGCGTAAATCACTATTTTAGTCTCAGTTTTCTTCGAAAAAAAAATTAAAACACTAAAGAAATACGTAGACATGTTTCTAGCTTGACAAAAATCCAAAGGCAAAGTAACAATAAAATTAAAGTTTTATTACAGTAATTTGAATGCCGTGGAAACTGTCAAAATTGCCGTAGACAGCTGTTACGTTCTACGGCAATTTTTAACGCCATTGCCGTCGATTGATTTGAGGGAAATTCGAGGCCTGATTGGGGGGGGGGGATAATTTAGGTTGCCACCATAT